CTTGAATGAGATCTGGTGCCCTCTGCTGGCATGCAGGCAGAAGACTGTATACATACTAAATAAAATCTTAAAAAAAAAAAAATAGAAACTTAAAAAAAAAAAAAAGCAAATGGAAACCCCCTACTTACTTTACAGAGACAGTACTACCAGTTGTTTAGTATTTCCGGCCCCTTTTTCTTTCTTTTTAAAAGACTAATTTTAAAAAATTATGTTTATGCATGTATGTCTGTGTGTGGGTCTGTACAGGAGCCTTCGGAGGCTGTTGCATCCCTTGGAGCTGGAATTACAGGTTATTGTGAACTATCCCCAACTGAACTCAAGTCCTCTACAAGGACACTACATGCTCTTAAACGCTGAACCTTTGTCCCCAGCCACATCCATCCACAGCATAATTTTAACATAATGTTAAACGAAGAATTGTGATTCCTCCTAACAACAATCTTTGTTCTGTGCTGCAACATTCCTAGGCCTTTGGACAAAGCTTCCACCATTGACTCAGATCATCCCCAGTCTGGGCCCAGTGGCCATCTAGCTTTTGCATTGTGTAGAGGATGTCACTGTGAATCAATTCCAAATATCCCCTTGCTCTGATCCTGACATCCTCTCTCTGGCCACACTTGTAAGGGATAAGAGCTACATCAGACGATAGCACAAAGCCTGCTTCTTCCCTTTCCTTCAGGTTAGGTCCCCGAGGGCTGGAGTATGTACAGCTCTCTGGTAGTCATTTCCTCACTGCTGTGTCCAAATACCTAACTGTTGTAGCTTTATATAGCAGCAGAAAGACACCAAGCAACAGAGCTTGGGTGGAGGGTTTTTTTTTTTTTTTTTTTTTTTTTTTTTTTTTTTTGGAGGAAAGTGAATGGGAAAAGTGGGGAGGGAAGAGGGGGCCAACCTCTAAGAACAAGAGCAACAGAAGAGAAGAGAGAGGCAGAGAGGGAGAGAGAGAGACAGAGACAGACAGAGAGACAGATGGGGGGTGGGCAGGGCCCTTTTAAAAGGGAATGTAGTGACTGTGCACAGGTGTTACTATTAGTGGCTGTGGCTGAGGGAATATCCTGTCAGAATCCCAAGGACAGATGCCTGAATACTAGCACTAATAAGAAGCATCTTAAAAGGGGAGGGCCTTATTTTGGCTCACACTTTGAAGGATACAGCCCATCATGGCAGGAATGCAGTGATACCCGGGTTGCAGTGCATCTGTAGTCAGGAAGTAGAAAATGGGTAGGAAGTGGGTCCTAGCTATTATAAAAACTTCAAGGCCCAAAACCAGTGATCCACTTCCTCCACTGAGGCTCTATTTTCTAAAGGTTTCACAACCTTCTAAAACACTGCCACCAGCTTGAGACCCAGCACTCAAACACACAAGCCTATGGGGGACATTTTATATCCAAACCATTCAAAGTCTGAACTTGAACGCTTCTCATACACATGGGGTTTTTTCTGGCCTGCCCACCTCAGGGGGCCTGTGGGGAGTGTAGGATGTGGCCTCCCATCCAGAGCTAGTCCCTACAATGTGGAGCCAAGAGTGGGAGCTTCAAACAGTGGGCAAGAGACCCTGCACGTCACAGAGCAATGAGAGGGATGCAGGCAGCAGAGGAAGGTGGGTCTGGGCATGCCAGCTTTCTTGGACTTGGAGGGGTCTCCAACACTGCCCAACCTCTGGTTTCCATTGGTTTTCATTGACAATACTTCTCCCACACCACCCCCTCAGGCACATGTCACATGAGTGTTTGCTGGGTCTTTTGCAGAGTCCTGTATTGCAGTATCTCTACTACCTGGCTCAGATCCCTATTGCCATGTCTCCTCTCAGCAACAACAGCCTGTTTCTGGAATATTCCAAGAATCCGCTTTGGGAATTCCTGCACAAGGGCCTGCATGTCTCTCTCTCTACTGATGACCCCATGCAGTTCCACTACACCAAGGTGAGGATGTTGGAGGGAGGAGTGGGTGCAGCGGTGTCCCAGCAGGCATCAGCCCTGGCCTGCTCCCCAAACCCTGCGACTGTGAAGATGTGAGCCCATAGCCCAATTTTGTTTTGGGGGCAGTGTGGCTTGGTGAAGACAAGGGGTGAGCCTGTGGTGAGGCGAGTCTTTGCCTTTCTCTCCATTCCACCTTTTTTTTTTTTTTTTTTTTTAATGTATCTCGGTGATCTTGGTAGACTTATTAGAACTCTATGTATTGTATTCCTTTTTATTTGTGAAGTAGGCATAAAATCATTTCTTTCTTAAGCTAATGGAGTCTCATTGGTAGCCTAATAGCCTAACATACCAGGCGTTCAAAAATTGAGGCAATTTTTTAAAAAGTTAATAGTATTTGCCCCTTTTCAGGGGAGAGAAGGTTTCACTGTATAGCCATGGCTGGCTAGAACTTAGAACTTGGTATGTAGACGAGGCTGGCCTTGAAATCACAGAGATCTTCCTGCCTCTGTCTATGCCTCTAGAGCACTGTGATTAAAGGCATGTGCCACCATACCTGGCTTTGTTAATAGTATTTTTATGGTTATGCTTTGGGTCTTTGGGAGGAGAGAAGAGAAAGATGATGTTATGAACAGGAAGCAGCCACAAGTGTTCCCACAACATTCTACTGGTGTTGACAAGATCAGGCACTGACTAGCTAAAAATAGAAGCTGCAGTGTCCTGGGCAGGGCCTCTGTAGGCTTGTAGCACCCGGACCTTTGACACCCAGAATGGAAGCCCTCAAAGAGCTTCCTCCCCTCTTTGTTGTGTCTGTTGCTCTTTATGGTGTGAGAAACTAGGGATGCTTTCAAAAATATTTACAAACTCATTTAAAATCCACAATGTAATACTCTGCTTTCTCTTCTGAGTGTAAAAATCTTTCACCTTTAAAAAATAGTAATGTATCAGTTTGATGCCTGTAATCCCAGTACTAGGGGGCTGAGGCAATGGGACCTAGAGTTGGGGGCTGGCCTGGGCTACAGATGAAACCCTGCATCAAAACAAAACAAAAACAACCAAGAAATTAAAAACAATGATGATGACAACAAAAAAAACACACACACACACACACACACACACACACACACACACACACCCTTCACCCATCCCAAAATAGTAATGGAATCATTAAGCATTGTATAAATAGCAAAAAATGTTATGAAAATATTTCCCAAAACAACAATCCCAAGAGGAGTGGCGTTGTTCTGCAGTTTGCTTTAATGTCTCACTTAATAGAAGACAGCTGGGTTCCCATCTCTGCCTCTGCATTCAATTTCTTGAAAAGTATGCTAAAGCAACCCTGTCTCACAACAGCTACATAGTTGGCAAATGGAATTGGCAAAAGGTCTCTGAGTCCCAGAGGTCTTTGTAACAACAGTTTAAGCCCCTCAGCTGGAGGCCATGGGGAGGTAAAGAAAGGACTGGTGATGGATGGCAGATAGTTCTCAGCCAGAAGATAAATCAGGGCTGTGACTAAGCCCAGCCCCTTAGGGATTGCATCATCTCCCCACGTGGAGGGAGTCTTTCTTGTTCTTATTTAATGTTACAGTTTACTCATTTTGACTTTTATTTGGGGGGTGGGGTGGGGTGGAGGGGTGGGGTTGGGGGGGCGTCCCACTCAGGAGGCAGAGGCAGGTGGATCTCTGTGACTTTAAAGTCAGCCTGGTCTACAAAGAAAGTTCCAGGACAGCCAGGATTGCTACACATAGAAGCCCTGTCTGGAAAAACAAAACAAAACAAAAAAAACAAAAAGCAAAGCTAAGAGCAGGCACTGAAAGTGTGCCTGACGGGGGCTGGAGAAGTGGTTCAGCAATTAACCAGCACTGGCTGGTCTTCTAGAGGACCAGGGTTCAATTCCCAGTACCCACATTGCAACTCAAGTCTAACTCCTGTTCTAGGGGATAATCCATCACCCTCATATAGACAAACACATAGGCAAAACACCAATGCACATAAAATAAAAATAATTATTAAAAATGTGCCTGACTACAGGGTGCTGAACTTTTGAGGCAGGAGGTTGGCCTTGTGTAAGTTCCAGTTGAAGGGCCAACAGGTCAAATCAATCTAGACCTTGATTACAGCAACTCAGCTCCAGCTCAATATATGAGGCCCTGGAACAAAACTAATTACACTGTATCAGTTAATTACACTGTAACAGTTAATTGAGCTTCTTGACCAAGGTGTTGCCAGTTAGGGTTCCCTCTGTTCACATCTGTTTTTCTGTCAAAGCCTCCATCACTTTGTTGGTCAATCTCAGAGCCTGCTGCTTGGGGGGTGGGGGCTGTCCCACTCACAGATCCTTGTTTACAAGAACACTCCTACATTTACCTAAGCAGCTCCCTTTTAATAAGGACTGTCCCAGAAGAGTAGGACCCCAGCTTTCTGACACGCTGGGCCCTAGGTGCCGGTGAAGAAAGGAATCTAGTCTCTCTGATTTCTATTTGGTGACCCACAGTTGCACACAAAAGGATCTCAGGAGCTTGAAGTTTAAGGTGTGAGTTTGTTTGATGACGCAGGTGCAAGCCACTAGAGGACAGCCATGGGAGAGCACTTTTTGTGTTGCAAGGCTGAAGTGTTGTCTCCTCTAACCTGTGTGCTCTGGGGTGGGGTCTAGGAAGCACTCATGGAGGAATATGCCATCGCAGCCCAAGTGTGGAAGCTGAGCACATGTGACCTGTGTGAGATCGCCAGGAACAGCGTGCTGCAGAGTGGCCTCTCCCATCAGGTGAATGTGATGGGCGTGTCTGTCCTTCCTCCCTTCATAAATGAGCACACAGAATTCTGTTGCACCGGGTGCCTTCTAGGCACTAGACAGCTGACAAGCTGAGGAAGCCAGGTCTCAGGAGCACTCACATTCAGGCTCCAGTAGTGAAACTACGGGGGCCACCATGGCTGCCCCTCATCTTAGACCTGCCCTCAGCAAGGCCTTCCCTGGTTGCCCTCCTCTTTCCCCCTTAATCTATTTTTCTCCGTAACCTGTCGAATTGCAGACACTGTGCTACACATTTCCTTATGTGTTTTTCAGTTTCCCTTTTGAATGGGTCTCCAGGTCCTAAAATAGTCCTGGCAAGAGCAGGCACTGAGGCACTCAGCAACCTTTGTATGGCTCCCTTAAGAGCTGGATGTGGAACCAACACTGAGAACCTGGGCATCTGCTCAGAAGATGCCATTTGAACAGGAAGAGGCAGTATTACAGGGTCTTGGGGGGGATGACAGTTCAAGGCCTAAGTGACAGACAGCACTTAGTTGTTCTGGGACCCAGCTTCTCCAGGTACACATGACTGCACGCCCATGTCACCTCTCAGGAGGGATTCCTTGTCCTAGTCCCTTACCATTCACTGTAGACCCGTCAGTTCTGTAATTCTCTCTCCTCTCTTACAACAGAGGGAATGACCAAGCGGTCAGGGTCACAACATTGGAGGTCCAGGAAGATTTGGAGTCCCATGGGAGGAAGATGTCCCCCATTGAGGATCAGCTTTAGGGACACTAGTCTGTGTGTTGGCCCTCATGTCAAAGCTGTATGTGTGGATATAGAAATGAATCTGGTCTCACTTCTCTTTCTCTTGGCCTCCAGGAGAAGCAGAAATTTTTGGGACAGAATTATTACAAAGAAGGACCGGAGGGCAATGATATCCGAAAGACCAACGTAGCGCAGATCCGGATGGCATTCCGCTACGAGACCCTGTGCAATGAACTCAGCTTCCTGTCTGATGCCATGAAGTCAGAGGAGATCACAGCCCTGACGAAATAGGCCCAGCGTTCCACACACACTTCCACCTTTTGGTTTAATTGCAAGCCTGCTTGGGCTAATGGTGGCCAAGATCTCAAACCAGGGCTTTCGTCTGTGATGAGGCCGCCTCTGAAGAAATCTCAAACTCCTGATTTTGGTTGCACCTTACAGACACATACCCATTTTGTTAGGGTTTCTGAGCTGGATGCTGACCACCTCCCATGGGGGATCTGGGAGCTGGCACTTGTGTGAACTTGTTCGTTTTCCACATTTCTCTTGTGATTGCCAGTGCTTACATGGTTGAGGCTGGGACTTTGCAAGGCTGAATGCCAAGTGACACAGGCCTGTGTGGTATCTGCCACACTCCTCTCAGCATGCCTTGTAGGGTAGTTCTCATGTCAGCATCTGGCTGGCTGGTTGCCTTAAGCCTCCTTCAAAGCTCCCTTTCAAAAAGGGGCTAACTTGAGAGAAAATATGAGGCTCCCCTGTTGATTTGTTAAGCTCATTTTTTAAAATGAGTTTCTTCACCGGTGTAGCCCCTCTTTCCTTTCTGGTTAGGAAGCCTAGTGCACCCACTGATGCCATCACTCCTGCTGTGTGTTACTTTCCTCATCCAGGACTCAATGTGTCTTCTCAAATCCTGTTCTGTGACTCCATCTCATGGACCATTCCAGGGCTGGGGAAGGTACAGGGTGAGTTCTGGGGCTCTTAACATCCTATTTTCCTTTTAATGAAGGCCTTTGAAAAGCACAGGACCAGAGGGCCCGTTCCTTGTGGCTTTAATATCCTGTGATTGCAGCTGTTACCACCACCATCACCCCTTCCGCCCCTAGGAGTCAGACCAGGGCAGTGACACACTCTTAAGGCCACACAGGACTAGAACCAGGTCCCTGAACCAGTGTTTTCCTAATTATTCCTTTAGGCTTCACAAATGTTAGTTTCGTTTTTTAAAATAATTTTAACATGGTGCATTTTATTTTGGTTTCTCAGGCAGGGTTTCTCTGTAGCTTTGGAGCCTGTCCTGGCACTCGCTCTGTAGACCAGGCTGGCCTGGAACTCAGAGATTAGTCTGCCTCTGCCTCTCGAGTGCTGGGATTAAAGGCGTGCGCCACCATCGCCTGGCTTGGTGCATTTTATTTTAAAGCACAGATTTCTTCAGAAGCTATCATGGTCCCAGTACCAGAGCGAAAGTTTTTAAGATCCATGTGTAGTTAGATTTTATCAGACTACTCATCTTTGTTACTAGTGCCTAGAACATAGTAGGTGCTCAATAAATGCATATGAAACAACTGAATGACTTTCTTTGGCACCTGTATGTACAGAATACTCAAAACACATTCAAATATCTTTCTAACAATTCACAAGGCACAGGTCCTTCTGCATCACTGTAGGATGAACCCAATTTTATCTGGAAGATAGTTATTTGATTCTAGATTATCTTATCCTGTGACTGTCATTCTCCCAGTGGTCAACGTAGCTTATGGGACCATGCCATCCTTTTACTAGGCAAATATGCTATCTTACATGGCTGATCCTGAAACTGAATGAAAACCTGTCATTATCTGAGGGATTGTTTTTGAAAAGCCTCCATTTGTATACATTTGCTCAAACATAGCAAGTATTGTACAGTTTTTTCATTGTATCAAATAATTTTTTTTAAAAAAAACAAACAAAACTACAAATAAAGTCTCTTAAGACTATGACTTGGTAGAGCCAAGTGTTTATTAAGATGGAGCAGAGTAAAAAGTTGTGAGAAGTGGAGGGCATTCATGAGGAAAACCCAGAATTTGCGAGCCCAAGCTCAGACCTTGCAGTGGTATCTGGCACCTGTGTAGCTCATGCCTGCCCACAGGGCATCAGCAGAGCTGCACCTCGAGTTCTTTCCCGGGACATTACCTTTGTTCGTCAGCATGTGATGAGACTTACATGTCTGAAAGCTTCCCAGGCTCCTGTTTCTCTAACATTACATTTTATTACATCCCTGTATTTCACTGATCCTCTTGAGGGTTGGGAGGTAAGGACAAATCCCTGCGTTTGCTTGTTTTACAGTTTGGAAGCAAAGGCAAGTGTACACAGACCCAGGTTTCTAAAGGGACAGATTCCAGACAGTGCTTTCTGGCTGATTCCTAAAGGCGGGTGATTGCCTTATATCCGACTTAAGTTGTGCTGTTGAATCTGTTCGCTTTGAATGAAATCAATTTTGAGTGTGTGTCTGGCTTCCTCAGCAGTTAGTGCTTGCTGAGGAGTGGGCTCATGAAACAATATTCATGTGCTGTTGAATCTGTTCGCTTTGAATGAAATCAATTTTGAGTGTGTGTTTCATGAGTGGGCTCATGAAACAATATTCGTCTTTCCCTGGGTCTTAAATACAAATGAAGGTAGCTGGTTGTGATACACATACTGTTCTGTGTCTGTACTGTGACTGTTAAAATAACCATAATGCCAATAAAAGGAACACACAGCACAGACAAGCAGCCTCTGCCTTCTGTGCTTACCTATAAGGGCTATTGTATAAAGCAGAAGACGATGAAGAGCTAAGCCTATAGAGTGACATATTTATCAAAGTATATTTGAGGAGGCTTTGTGATTCAGATGGATACCAGTGTGTACTTCTCCACAGTGTGGTTGATGGGCACCAGCAAACTTGCCCCTAAGCTGCCACCTCCTTCTGCTTTCCCTCTTGGGCAGTGAGACTCAAGGTACTTCTCTACTGACATCTGTTTACACGGGAAGTGCAGAGCTGCCAGGGCGCAGTGCTAATCCTCTGTTCTGTCTCATGGGCAGTAGGGCAGAGGAGGCAAGCAAAGTCACACCACTGTTTATACTGCCATTGTGCTGCCACTCACAGATGTGTGGGGTGAGCTGACAAAGTAACCTTCAGTTGAGAAACAACTCCCAGAGCAAGGAAACTCCCAACACTACAAATGCAAATTATCTGGACTATTTTTTAATGAATCCAACTTCCCAGTGTTAAAAATCAGGGGACCAAAAGGTTTCCAAGCAGCCTTATTACCCAGATATATATTAATATAAGGAAAACATCAAAACATAGCACGCAAACACCATGATCCTCAGAGCACAATATAAAACAGTCTTCTAATAAATATAAATATTTAGTACATAAGAATGTGAAATTACATAAGCAAAAGTCTTTTTCATTAGCTAATGTTCACTTGCAAAGTTTACTTATTGCACACTGTATTAGTTTTCCCTAAGAATAAAGCAGGTTCTGCTGTCTTTACACCACTACACAGTCAAACTCATTTTCTGAAACCCAGTGTCTAAAGCATCCCAGTCAACCCACAGTTACTGAATGAGCATAGCACAAAAACTCCCCAGAGCAGGAGGCAGTTCACACATCTCGGAAGGCACACGATTCCCTACCATAGCAAATGCATTTAAGTACTATTTATTTTGAAAAGATAAAGCTGTACAAAATTATCTATTTACTGTAGAAAATTATCTATTTACTCAGGAGACAAAGCTACAACTTTTCTGAACTGCAGGCGGGCCCTATACCATCCACATCTGAAGAAAGATGGAATGAACAAAGAACTCTGCTCATTTACCTGATGAGGCGAGTGGAGACACCAGCAGTTCACAGCGGATCAGTTCGAATCTTGGAGCTCACACTGTAAGGAAAGGGCTAAGGGCAATATCAAGTCACCGGACTCACTATTTAATTCCTTCAAAAGTGAGGGATTCTGGGGAATAAAAGTTTTGGCTATTGCTGAAAGGATCCCAAACCCATAAAGCTATGTTATTCACTTTCAGAAACATTTTTCAATTAGGCAACTTGAATTAAATGCAACAACTCTAATCCAAAAAAAGTTTTTAAATTTTTAGGGCTGGAAAATATCTCAGAGGTCACTTACCCCAAGGTTTTAAAACAATGTTCCATAGAGTACTTGAGAATCAACACAAGAGGTTGAATCATCTACAAATATAAATTTTAAAATGTTTTAAAGATTTTTGGTGTGTGTGTGTGCGCGTGTGTGGTGGTGTGTGCGTGTGTGTGAGAGAGAGAGAGAGAGAGAGAGAGAGAGAGAGAGAGAGAGGTGTGGGTACCCTAAGAGATCAGAAGAAGAGGGTGTTGCATCTCCTGGCCCTGGAGTTAAAGGCTGTGGTGAGTCACCAATGTAGGTGCTGGGAATTAAACTCTAGTCCTCTGCAAGAATAGCAATTGCTCTTAACCACTGGACCATTTCTCCAGCCTTACCACCCACAATTTTTTGAAACAGGGTCTCAATGTAGCCCAGGCTGGCCTTGAACTCACTATGCAGTTGAGGATGCCTTGAACTTCTGTTCTTCCTGCTTCCTCCTCTCAAGTGCTAGGGCTACAGGCATACACCACCCATACTGTTTGTTTTTATGCAGTGTTGGGATGGAACCCAGGGCTTCATGTATGCTAGGCAAGTACTCTACCAATTGAGCTACACCTCCAGACCTGAAATATTATTTTTACAAAACAAAAGCTTTTCATCACACAAATCTGCTATTTACTAAATTCTAATGAAACTGCATCACCAATCACTGTGACATTTTCCTACACCGACTTTATGGTGAGTACACTGTACTAAATTTATAAAAGGACACCTATGTTAATAAAACGTAGCTTCTATAGAATGGGGGTAACATGTGTGCATACACTCAGTACACACAAACTTGCAAAATTTACTTGAAAGAAGCTTCACTGCTGGAGAGATGGCTCAGTGGTTAAAAGCACTGGCTGTTCTTCCAGAGGTCCTGAGTTCAATTCCCAGCAACCACATGGTGGCTTACAACCATCTACAATTCATTCTGGTGTCCTCTTCTGGCACAAAGGCAGAACACTGTATATCTGATAAATAAATCTTTAAAAAAGAACAGCCGGGGCATTGGTGGCGCATGCCTTTAATCCCAGCAATTGGGAGGCAGAGGCAGAGGCAGAGGCAGAGGCAGAGGCAGAGGCAGAGGCAGAGGCAGAGGCAGAGGCAGAGGCAGAGGCAGAGGCAGAGG